CCCTTGTTCTCACTCTCTCTCTCCTGACACCATGTAAGATGTGCCTTTCTTTCCCTTCACCTTCTGCCATGATTGTAAGTTTCCTGAGGTCACCCCAGACATGCAGAACTTTGAGTCAACTAAATCTCTTTCCTTTATACATTACCCAGTCTCAGGTAGTTCTCTATAGTAGTGTGAAAATGGACTAATACACCTCTCTATGCCTCAGTGACCTTATCTGAAAAGATGATGGTGTTATCTACCTCATATGATTGTTGTTAGGATTGAAGATATTAATACACAAACTGCTTTAAAAAATGTTTTACCCATAGAGAATACACATGGCCTTCTCTTCTCAAATTCATTTTCTGCTCATTTAATGTGCCTGGCCTCAAAAGAAAAAGAACCCTTTTCCAATTAATTTAAATTAATGAGTAAACCCAGACTATGCTTAAATTATTTGTGAGTTTAAGGGGATTATTGGCCTGGTGTGGTGGCTCATGCCTGTAATCCCAGCACTTTGGGAAGCTGAGGTGGGCAATCACTTGAGGTCAAGAATTTAAGACCAGCCTGGCCAACATGGAAACCCTGTCTCTACTGAAAATACAAAAATTAGCTGAATGTGGTTGGCATGTGCCTGTAGTCTCAGCTACTCAAGAGGTTGAGGCATGAGAATCGCTTGAACCCAGGACACAGAGGTTGTTGTGAGCCCAGATCGCACCACTGCACTCCAGCCTGGGTGACATAGTGAGACTCTGTTTCAAAAACAACTAAGTAAGTAAGTAAATAAATAAGGGATTATTATTAGTCCCAGATATCTCTAGTTCAGTCATGATATGGTCTGAATGTTTGTTTCCTCCTAAAATTTCTGTGCTGAAACCCTAACTCCCAATGTGATGGTATTAGGAAATGGGGCCTTTGAGAAGTGATTAAATCATGAGGGTAGAGCCCCCATGACTGAAATTAATGTATGCCCAAGGGAGCTCTTTTACCCCTTGTATCACGTGAGGACAAAGCTAGATCTGTGAACCAGGAAACAGGCTCTATATCAGATCTACCAAAATCCAAGATTCTGAGAAATCTTGGATTTCTCAGCACCAGAACCACAAGAAATAAATGTTTGTTGTTTAAAACCCACCCAGTTTATGGTATTTTGTTACACCAGCCCGAATGAACTAAGACAGCTCAATTTCAGGCTGTATAATATCAAAAGTTTAAATAATAATAATAAAAAGAAACAAATTCCAGCATGCGGGGGGGGGGGCCAATAGACAACTCTGTCACCTCTCCTTCCGTATTCCGAATTATTATCATAGATTATTGACCAGCTCTATTTCCAAATCCATTGGTTCTTCATAAAATCTAACTCACTGTCACTCTCTCTCTGACCCTAAATTTCCATATTAACTACAGAAGCCTGTAATTAAGCCTGTAATTAAGCGGTGAAACATAGTTCCATGTATGCGTGTCATGGGAGAAGGGTAGACAGTTTCATATCAGACATACTAGGGATCTGTATGTCAAAACTGCCTGTACTATCTTAGGGGATGGGAGTGAAATGTCCTACACAGTTTAGACTACTGCTGAGTCACAAAGTGGCCATATTGTTTAAAAATTCCCTCCAGATATCAGAGAAATCCAAGTATCACATGTCCCAGGAGCTTAAGCTACTTCATCTTCCTTTATTCATTCACGCTTGCTATGATATCTGCAACACTCCCATGTTTACTACTTTTCATTAGGATGCATAAAATAATTATGCAAGTATTTACAAGAGTACATTACAAAGGATAAATTTTAATAGAGTGCATTACAGCCAATCATTTTCCTTTGATGTCTCAAAGATCCAGAGTACAGTTTATTTCCTCCTATTTAATCCTTTAGAAAACATTTGCAGAGTACCATTAACATAAGTAAACTCTTCAATATCCCTTTATCAAAATGCCATTACCAGTTACAACTCTCCAATTTTTTATGCACTTGCCTCAGATAACTTCTCTCACTCTATAATACCCAGCTTAAACCTACCCCCTCATTTTAATACTCAAATACAGCCATGAGAGAGGAGTATAATTTCTTATGAAGAGTCTCAATAAGGAGGAGATAAATCAGATCTTCCTTGTGAGGAGCTATCCTACCCATAGCAGGACAATTAGCATGCCAACCTCTCCCCATACCCACCACAGAATGCCAACATAACCCTATAACTGTGGCAACAATCAAAAAAGGCGGCACAGGTATCTCAACCACTAGGTAGAAGGTACCAGCCCTATTCCTACTGAAAACGCATTGAAGTGATTAAAAGGAATTTCTTAAAAACAGAGGTTGGGCCTAAGCCTTCTGAAATGGATTACACGTGTTAAGAACTTCAGCTCTGGAATCTAACTGCCTAGACCCAGATCTTCTGAATTTTTGGAAGGTAACTTAACCTTACTGTGTCTCTTTCTTTGTCATAAAATGGTATGATAATATGCCTACCTCATAGGGCATTTCCAGGATTAAATGAAATAATACATGTAAAGTAGCTAGAAATTTGCCTGGCATGTAAGAATTCAAACGGATAATTATTACCTGTGATTTCTAATGCCTCCGTAAGTAACAGGTACTTAGGCACTCTTCCTGAAATACAGATTCTATGAATCTGCCTAATATTAATTATTCACGATTTCCTAAATGTGATAAGACAAGGTCATCAGATCAATTATCATTAGATTTGGAATATTCATATGTCATTCACCTTTTGCTTTCTTTAAAAAAAAAAAATTTCTTTGAAAATGAGCTTACCTTTGGAGGAATGCACCATAAACAAAAAAAAAAAAATTTAGGCTGACTGTTGGTTAGCTGCACAATTGTTTCCTATTTTCACTTGTCACCCCAGCTCCAAAATTTGTTCAAGAACAAGTTTAGCTACATCAAACTTTTACTTGTGTTAATGACCTATAAGTGCCAGTCAGTAAGATGATGCATTCTCATTAGTGGTCTTCACCTCATTAGAAGCCTGCTCTCACTGATTTGGACCTCAGAGGTCAATACAAATCTCAGGAAGAATTCTCTTTAATTTAATAGATAGGCAGGTATGCGGAAGCCAAGTGCTATCTATACGCTGCTACATTTCACATGCCTACAATTGCAAAGGCATCTAAAGAAACCTAGCACTAAATCCCAACACGATTCCTGCTGAAGAAACCACCATTATGTCTAATATCAAGGAGAACTACAAAATTTGGATTTTTCCCATTAAGATTTCAGAAAGTACTAAGAGTCATCAGACTGATCTCAATAACATCCTGGAAAAAGCATCTAACACTTAAGAATTTATATATTTTTAAATATCTGATCTCATCTCACTTGATAAATAAATGAGCTGCAGTAGCAGTATCCTTAAAAGAAAAAAAAAAAAATGCAGTGTCATCCCTCCAGCGTTTTCAACAAAAGAGTCAATATTGAAACCTGAGGTAAAACAGTCAAACAGTGTCAAAAGTGATGTAGGTATTTCTGTTATTTCTGTTTCTCTCCAAAGGGACTGTTTTGTCTCAGGGTGCATGGGTGATTTTGTCGCTAATTAGCCAACGTAGGATCCACTTAAATAAAGGCACTTATAAAGGTAAGAGCATGGCTACTCTGCAAGCTTTCTAAAAGACAGTTTCTAAGAAGTGCAGGCTTACACATGCACAAGCTATCCAAAGTGGGATGTGTTTTCTGAGATAAACTGAAGAAGAAAAGTCTAAATCAACCTTCTCTTCAAAATAAACAAGACACATCAATTCAAGAGAAATCACATACCCAGAAACGTGGCATTTTCGCCAAATACATATTTACAAACTATGTAGAAAAGAAGTTCTGAGATGCCACTGATACCCTGGCCATGTGTCAAGACTGAATTTCACATGAAAGAAATGAAATATGTAATTTGAATCCCAAAATCGAATTTTTCTTACAGGAAAAAGTAAAGCCCCAGAGATCTATGGATGGCTTTGTGTACTTATCTAAGCCATTTTTCTATAATAAAGTATTCACATTTCAGAAAGGCAAAAGTGAAGCAAAGTAGGAGCAAAATGGCAAAAATGTTTAAATGCTCAAACACTCTGGTGTCTATTCATAACCGCTCAGGAGCAGAAATCGAAAAGCAGAATTAGATCTGGCTTCTCTCTCAGGCGGTTCGATGATGATTCCGCTGATGCTACAGAACTCAGGTGAAACTTCAGCCAGTCAAGAGGACTAGGCAATTTGTAAAGACTTAAGACTTCCCATGAGCTCCTCGCTATGGTTGACACGGTGACAAAAATTATCTCCTAGCTTTCATGATTTCTAATCCGGAACGAAACCATGCCCATCCTGAGACGATGCGTTTGAGTCACCTTCCTACTAACTCTTCAGTTCTCTAATAAGGGGACTAGTAGCTAAGTGGCCGAGCACTCAATCCTTCACATACTCATCACCCCAGCTCCTCACTTCGGCAGATGAGCCGGGATTTGCCTCTCGTCAAACCTGTGGAATAAACCACTCCGTCCGACTCGGCGATACTTCTCAAAAAAGAAAGAAAGGTAACATGTGCACGAAGTCATTGGTCTCTACAAAGAAAAAAAATGTCAAACTCACTGTTCGATAGGATTTCATTCACAACCCTTTCACAAAGTGGTAGTCATTAGCCAATTACTCTTCAAACAGAAAATTAAAGAAAATGCACACATACCATACGCGCTCACACATGCACACACCCAAACCTCGGGGTGGGGGGAATGGGGGGGAATCTGTCAGGCGCCGAGAAAGTACCGGGTGGACACCAGCCCCGGTCGCGGTTTCCGCTCCCGGGCTGGCGCTCCCCAAGGACGCGTTGGGGACTGCGTTCCGCCTCGCTCCGCCCGGACAGCCCGCAGCCCCCGCAGGTGTCTGCCCGCACCTCCTGCCCCCCATCCCTTCCCGGGCTCGGCCCGCGGTTGTCCGCGCCAGGTCCGGGGTGGGGCGGGGCACACTGTTGTCTGCTCTCTCCAAGCGTTCCGGAGCGCGCCGGCGCCACTTACATGCCCAACCGGAGCTGTAGGGCGCTTCCTGGCGGCCAGCCGGCAACCGCCCAGACGCAGAAGCACAGTCGCGAGGACATCTCGGCGAGGCTGATCCGCCCTGGCCGCCGCCCGGGCTGCGCGCGGCGCGCCGTTCCGGCTCCGCAAGTCCGAACCCGGCGCAGAAGTTGGGCTCCTCGGGCAGAAGTTGGTGCAGGGCTCGCGAGGCTGGCGCGGTGCGTCTGTCTGCGGCGGGAACGGCAGTAGCTTGGCCCGGATAGGCGTCAGAGGCAGCTGGGAGTGCGAGAGGAGCGGTCGGGCGAGCCCCAGAAGCTCGGTGGCCGCTGAGCTGCATGCCCCTGCTCCGCCGGGAGCGACTGAAACCGAGTGAGCCCAGCGGCCCCGCAGCCCCCGCAGCCCCGGTGCCATGGAAACGCGCTCGCCGCCCTCCCGCCCCAGCCCCGCCGGAGCGCTTAAAGAGACAGCCCTTCCGCCACCGCGGGCGCGAGGCGCTGCTGGGCGTCCCCCACGCCCTGCGCCCTCCTCGCCCCCTCCTCTTCACCCAGCCGCGGCGGGGGCTGGGTGCTGGGGACGGGAAGGGCAGCTGGGACGCAAAATAAGGGGCTTCGCTCAGTACTCAGCCTAACTCTGCTCCCACCTCTTCCTACCCTCCCCCCTCCCAGCACACACACTCAAATCCCGCCAAAGAGCCCCAAGCAGTCCTGGCTTTTCCTCTCAAACATCAGCCTGCTCAGAACCAAACCAGTTGTGCAGGAGCAGAGACCAAAAGAAGGCTGACTTTTGATTCTCTTGTTCTGCTCGCTCCCCACCCCGAGTCTGGGGAGTTGGTCAGAGCGGTAGGCTGAGGGAGGTGTGTTTGAAGTGGGAACCAACTGGCAGTTGATTGAGTCAAATCTGCCAAATCGACAGTTGCAGGACACATCGCCGGCTCATCCAGAAATCCTCCTCACTCAAAACGGGGTCATCTCTCTTCGTTTTATTTGGCTATCATCTCATCCCCATTAGGCACCAGAGTTATAAGGAGGAGCCAACGCTTTTACAAACTTAATCCCTCCTTTCCTTCAAACCAGCTCCTTTCCCCCAAATATAAGGAGGAACAGCCCCTCCTGCCCGGAATGGGAAGCTCTCTGGCTGCGGTGTTGGCCAGCGCAGCCAGGGACGCACGGCCAAGCGCGAGGCAGTCGCCAGCAGCTCAGGCCGTAGTCTGTGCCTCTGCCCGGTGCCAGCTGCTGTCTGAAAGGCCACAAACCTCTGGAGTCTGTTTCGTGAAAATAAAAATCTATGGTGCATCGTGCCCTCCAATAAAGGACAGCCCAGACTCCGAAGCCATAATCTGCTGTTTATCCCTGAAAAAAAAATGGATCAATCTGCAGTGGAGCGACTTTTTTCTTTGATTCCTAAACTTACCAAAAGTGGCTCTCCAGTGACTCATTCATGTCAAATACTGTACTCAAAGTGGTACTACCTGATTTCCTCAGTTCTGGGAGCCCTAAAAGGATCTTTCCCAAATGGTTATGTGGGCTCCCTCTTGTCCTGCATATTTGAAATAACCATCTGGCTCTTAGTTTCAGTGTTTTGAGCCTTTGTTCCCTTTTCTTTCTTCTTACTTTTTTTTTTTTTTGGCTCTGTCGCCCAGGCTGGAGTGCAATGGCGAGATCTCGGCTCACTGCAATCTCCGCCTCCTGGGTTCCAGCGATTCTCCTGCTTCAGTCTCCTGGGTAGCTGGGACAACAGGCGCGCGCCACCACGCCCAGCTAATTTTTTGTATTTTCAGTAGAGATGGAGTTTCACCATGTCGGCCAGTATGGTCTCCTGACCTCGTTATCTGCCCGCCTCGGCCTCCCAAAGTGCTAAGATTACAGGCGTGAGCCACCGAACCCGGCCCAATTGGGCTTTTACAGAAGGGATTGAGAAGCAAACTTTTGTCATTTCTCTGAAAAGGAAAAAAAAGATGGAGGTGAGATAAAACCAAACTACTCCTGAATTTTTCAGCATTCTGTGACTTTGCTCTTCTTGAGTTTCAGAATATGGAATTCAGGCCACCCTACAGTATCTTCTATTTCTCTGAGACATATCTGTATCTTTTACTTCTTTTAAAATTGAAGTTTAATTTAGTAAATTAAAAAAGCCACAGGTACAAGTACATAAGTAAACATCTTTATCCTTTGACAAATATCTTTAACAAACATAATTTTTTAGCTCTTTCCACAATAGAAATCATTACCTAACCCCCCTTATTTCATTTAAAAAAAAAAAAAAAAAAAGATTCATTCTGACTTCTCTTTCTAAATGCCAGATATACATCAGCCAGGGCTTCTGTAACCCCAGAGACAGTGGACTTGGTGACAGTGCTGATTATCTACTGTAGAGATGCATTGTAACTTGGCTAACTAATTAGTTCTAATATTAACAGGCCTAGCATAGGCTGCTAAAACACATTGACAATTTAAAAATATATTTTTAACTCTTCTAACTTCTACTCAACCTCTTTGCCACCTTTTTAAACAAGTAACAAAGTTGATTGCTTAATTTCAACTCCTCTTTTTTTTCTTCCCTCTTCTGGTGAGATGCTAATGAACAGTGAAATGACCAAGGCAGGCAGGGCACTGTGGGGGAACAAGGAAAGAAGAGAAACTGGCTAATACACAAAAATGGTGGTTTCTGAATTGAGTGAACAAACTATATAAGGTGGGGTTGTTTTTCTTCCCATCTGGATATAGCTATAGGTAAAAAAATAATAATAATCCTCTCCATTGATTCGATTTTTTGTTTGTCTTTTGAATGAAATGTAAAGACTCCAGATTGTTTCCCTACAGTTTGATCTTAATTATTTTAATACAAATTTATAGCATACCTAGAGATGACAGTAAAAATTAATTGTACTCCAAAATTTCCTTTGACTTGCTAAGCTTTTATTTGCTCCTGAACTAGTTTTAACTCTGCTTGGATGTATCTCCAACCAATTTCATTCCCTCCTGGAATGTAAAAAGTTTCTAAACATTCTCTTTCATAATATCACTGAAAGTCTTGCATAAATAATAGATCACATTTATTACAAGGCTAAGTTTTATGTAAGCCACAGCTAATATTCAGAACTATTTTAAAAGCTAAAGAATAATAGAAATACAAGAATGTTTGTAAATCATCTGATTGCATAGTTGTTTAGTAAAGGACAGCTTAGGTACGTGGGAAGTAACTAAGCCCATTGAAAATCATAAATTAGAAAATTTTCCTTTTATATACATTGGTTTCAAAGCACATTTTTACTATAGATGAATATTTAAAGCACTTAGGATGCTACAGAATAAATATGAATAGTGCACATTTCAAAAAGTGAGATTTATTTCAAATTATTCTAGCATGGATAATAATATGAACACAATGTCATGTAAGCAACATCATTAAATGAAATATACTCTTCTAACATAAGTGTTAAAATTTTGCCATGAACTTGAAAACACTGATTTGAAATCAGCTCCCCTTCTGCAGTATATTCATACAATCTTGAAATAACTGGTTATTTGGTTTGATTGGTCGGGTGTGCTATATCTTTAAAAAAACAAAGTATTATGAAACCTGTTATAATCTTCCATATTATAAGAACAATGCAGTTTGGTGTTTGGGGGTTGTTATGGACACACAAAATGAAGGCAGACACAGACAAAACAATTAACTCGGCCTTTATTGTCAAAGGAAGATAAATTTTAAATTTAACCAAGCAAGAGAATGAGCCAGTTACACAAAAACCAATTTTAAAAATAAGAGAATAAAAAGTTTTGTGTTGATGATATCCCTTCTTTGGACATAAATATTACAGAAAAAAATCCAGAAACATTATCTATTTTTATTTTTGTTAATGATCTTTCACAATCTCAATCTAGACAGATTCTTAAAAATGAGTTAGAAATTGAAGACAAACATTCTATCTAAAAGGAGTCCTAAAGATTTTAAGGGAGTCCTTCATGGGAATTCCACATGCCACTTCACTCTCCCTCCAGACCTGTATCAAAGGAGTAATAAATCTAACCAGCTTCTCTCTTGTTAGGAAGGGGTGGGGTAAGCCAATTTAATGCTTTATGTATGCTGGTTGTAAAAGGGCATGCTTACCTAAAAAAAATAAATTCCGACCAGATGTTCTAAAAATCTTCTTGAGTTCGTGCTTGAAGAAAAAAAATTACCAAATACTTTATCTTCTCATCTATCTTCTTCTCATTGAGAAATTGTTGATCCATGGCAATTCAACAAGCAGGCTGCTACAAAAACCTTCCAGCCAAAGCTTTTCAGTCCTGCTCTCCTGCACACAAAAACTTCCAGTGTCTATATGGGGACAGGAAAGGAGTACAGGCCACTTCATTCAGCAGGTGTTGTAGGTTGAAAGAGGAGGAGGTCAGAAAGCAATTCTTTAAAGGACAGCTTCTGTCACCTGAAAGTGTAATAAATTGCCATTGTAAAAATGCCTACAAGCACTAATGAGCCATGCACATTGAAATCTTGATGTCAGGCAAAATAGAACGAAATTCACCCGGGAACCAACTGAGATTGTCACACCAAGATGTGAATAATCATTCTCCCTTTGGCTTAATCTGCCACTAAATTCTGCCCCTCCAAATCCATAGTTTTTTTCTCTCTCTCTTTTTATGGAAAATAATAAATTCTTCATAAAACTCATGAAATTTTTTTCTAGTGATTTATACATAATTTCTCAGCCCTCCAATTCTCATTGGTCATAAAGACTTCCCAATCATATTTGAGTTAAATGGAATGATCAGATCTGGAATTATATGTATTTATTAGAACAGAATTGGAAGATTAGCCCAAATACATATTTTTTTAGAAACTGTACTTTGCACAGATAATGCTTTTTTGGGGGCGTATGGGGTGAAAAATATGTAACTTTAAATTTATAATCTTAACCATTTTTAAGTGTATAGTTCTGTACTGTTAAGTATATTGTTGTGCAACAGATCTCTAGAACTTTTTTATCTTGCAAACTGAATCCATATCCATAAATACTAATTCTCCCTCTCCCTTTCTCCCAGCCCTTGGCAACCGCCATTCTATTTTCTGTTTCTATGTTCACTATTTTAGATACTTCATATGAATAGAATCATAGAGTATTTGTTGCTTTATGACTGGCTTATTTTGCTTAGCATAATATCCTTGAGGTTCATCCATATTGTGGCATATGACAGGATTTCCTCCTTTTTAAGGCTTTATAATATTCCATTGTATGTATATAAATTTTCTTTATCCATTAATCTGTCAATGAACATTTGGATTGTTTCCACCTCTTGGCTATTATAAATAATGCTGCAATAAACATGGATGTTCAAATATCTCTTTGAGATCTTGCTTTTAACT